CCCTAATGGCAAGGACTTGAGTATGATTTTCAGTGCTCACTGCAATACTCATGTCCTGACTTGAGTATTGAGTAGAGTTCTGGAATACGACCCTAAGGGTCGTATTCTAGAACTCTACTCAATACCACTCTACTCAGTTCTGGAATACGACTCTTAGGGTCGTATTCCAGAAGTCTACTCAATACTCAAGTCAGGATTTGAGTCTGGTTTAAAGCACTCGAAATCATACTCAAGTCCCTGCCATTAGGGTCGTATTTACAGTGCTTGAAAACATACTCAAGTCCTGGAATTCGACCCTTAGACTATGGAAACCAAAGGACATGTTCTATTGACATATATAAATCAGACGATGTGTATATGATGCATTTCAACGTTGAAAATATAATATATAAATAAAATATAATAACACTCTCTTAAATTACACTAAAATTAATTTTTCTTTAGTCGAAGCTCATGTATTTTGTTAAAAAAGTACATAAAAGAGTAAGCAATTTTGCCGCACCTTTACTTACAAAGCCGCAGTACATGCAGATCTACGGATTATTTTTTTCTACATAGAAAATTATTAGAACTATACTGTAAGTAACCCACGCACATTACATTTTCGTATATTTTGAGATAAAAATAAAATGTATATTTCTCCATACCAAAAAACTTTTTTTCTCCAAAACTACAACTTTTCAAGAAATTATATAAGAATAAAAGTTGTTAGGAATGTTACTATCATATAAAAAAAAAATTAGGTCGATACTCCACAAGTTATTCCTATGTCCAAGAATTAGCAATTTGGGTCCACTGTGCGGCGGGCGGTGCAATGTAACATTCGGTTGATTTTCGATTTCTCTAATGCTGCAGCGACGTATTTTTATCGATAGTTAATTGTTCTCACTGTCTATATTTTTGTCTATTTATTCCAAATCATGCGAATAATTCAATAAAACATTTAGCGAAACATTGGTTTTGACCATAGACTACATAAATAATAGTTTTGATCAACAACGACTTCAATCTATAGACAAGAACATCACAGCAATTACATGTTCCAAATTCCAATAGAGAGTCTTTTGTTTTACTGTTGAATTTTGTCAAAGAGTATCAGTACTGCAGTACCGTGGACAGACGTAACAGTCTAATGCCCGTTTTCACCAACAAGCCCTAAGTTTTAAGGGACCCTTAAATATTTTTAAGTAACACTTAAAAGAAATTTTCGTTTCACCAACCGTTAGGTGACACCTAAGGCGCTAGGGGTCCCCTACAGTTTGGGGGCTCGAATATTGAACCCCTAACATTTAAGTGACAGTTTCATTTGATTCATTTTAGGTTAGTTCACTTTATATTTCTTCTATTGTGGATGCTGTAGTTGTTATTTCAAAATGGAAAGTCACCTAATTAGTTTTTTGGAAAGTTTGGAAGCCATCGAGACCTTGGAATTAGTGTCTAGCCCAAGTTTATTTAGGCGACCTCGTATTTTTCGTGTAAGATCGGATGACTGCAAAATACGATGCTCGCGACTTTTTCATAAGATACAGATTGTCTAAAGAAAGTGTGTTATTTCTACTAGACAAAATCGAACATCAATTGGAATTTAAAGATGACAGGTATAGTATTCTTTTATTACATTTTTAAAACAAAAATTTTTTATTACAGTTTTTAGTTTACCTAGTTCTATTGCAAAATTCAATCAAGAGATACATATTACCCTTGTTCGTTACATATTTAACAATTTGTTCACAGAAATAATTCTGTACCTCCAATAAATCAACTACTATGTGCATTACGATTTTATGCTACTGGTAATTTGTTACAAGCAGTGGGGGATTTGAATGGTGTCAGCGTCGCCACTTGCTGCCGTATAGTAAAAAGGGTTTCTGAAGCTATAGTGCCGCTTCGAGATCAATTTATCAAATTTCCAGACACAGAAGAGCAACAATCCATAGTTAAAGAAGAATTTTACAAGATAGGGTGATTTCCAAACGTACTCGGCTGTATTGACTGCACACATATAAAGATACAATCCCCTGGTAAGTAAATTAAATACATACATATTTATAACTTAAACATATTTAATTTTTAAATTTATTTTGTCACTTATTAGGTGGTGATGATGCTGAATTATTCAGAAACTGAAAGTCCTACATGTCAGTAAATGTGCAGACAATAAGTTCTGCAAATTTATTAATTACTGATGTAGTAGCACGTTGGCCAGGCTCAACACACGACTCTACTATTTATCAGAATAGCCGAAGATATGCTAAGTTCCAACAGGGAGATTATAGAGGTGCCTATCTATTAGGAGACAGTGGATATCCTTTGAAGGTTGGTAATCTTTACAATTATAGTACATAATTTGTTCAAATATATCTACATTGAAAGTAAAAAGTGACAACTACACCAATTACACCTTTTAAAAATAAGGGTTTTAAACCTACCAGATCCCACATCTTGCAAGATTTATAAATGTAGTTAACAGATTTAAATAAATAGAACGTACCAAACAGGTAGAAGCTGGTAAATAAAAATAAACATTTTTTTTTAAATACACCACATTTAATTTATTCAACTTAAAAGTAAATTTTATTATTTTCTTTGTGGAACTCCTAATAAGCTTTGTAAAGCTAGGCCCCCACCTGAAAAAGTTAAAAAGAATACATTTTTCTTTCAGAGTCATCTTCTCACTCCATACTTAAATCCTTCAACATATGGGCAACGAAAATACAATGAGGCTCACATTAAAACAAAGAATGTGGTAGAACGACAGTATGGTGTATTAAATAGAAGATTTCCTGTCTTAGCTGTTGGAATACGACTTAAGCTTACCACTGCAGTCAATGTCATTCTAGCATGTTGTATTTTGCACAATTTATGTATCATAAGGAAAGAACAGGAGCCCATAAATGATTGTTCTATCCCTCATTTGGCAGACCTCATTACAGCTGGCCATATCCCCCAGTTACCAATTGCCATCAATGATCCCTCATATGGATTTCAGAGAGAGCAAATAACTCAATATTTTGAAAATAATTAAATGATTTGTGTGACAAACTTAAAAATTACCTTTTATTTGAAACAATATTTCCATTTTAATTTTAACCTCCTTGGCCGCAGCTTCAAGTTGTAATTTGTAGAGGTTTTTTTAAATGCAATCGCATCTTGGAGCAATTGTCTTTTTAAATCTTCAATATCCTCTTTCTTTTTATTAACGTCCTGCAAACTGGCACATAATGTGGAAACTGCCTCTGTTCTTTCATTTGTTTGAGATAATTGTGGTCGCCTTCTTGACCACATTAGAGTTTTCTTTATTTCAAAAGATGCTGTTTCCTGCAATATACATTTGTCCATATTAACCTTTGATGCGTCTATGAGTGTGTCCTTAATATTTTGTTTTGTTTTTTAAATGGTAGATGAAAACACAGTTGCGCGTTGGAGACATTGTGTGCTAACACTGATGACTGTACATCACCATAATTTTAGTAGAAGTAGAATTCCATGTGATGCCTTACATATTTCTGCCGCCAAGTGGTGACGTCAGCATTGCTGCGTTCCTGGTTTTGAAGGGTCAGGGTGCTTGTGAAATTACAGGCACAGGGGACTTGTCAACTTTTGTCCCAGGGTGACGGGCAAATGGCAAATGGTTCTTCCCGTCACTTGATATTATAAAAAAACACCTAAATCGTTAAGGACACTGTATTTCTCTTGGACGTGGGACAGGTTAAAGATAGAAGACAAATGTTAGTATAGGGTATAACATAAAACAACATACTTGATTGGGTTCCTCAGAAGATAATTCCACATTATCTTTTGAAGTTTCTGTCTCTGTTGAGGCCTGTATCTTAGGCTCATTCCCAATACAAATTATTTTTGGGAAGGCCATTGTACTACCCATCCCTCTTTCATCAGCATCGCAATCTACTGCTCCGTTTATGCCTGTACACGCCCGACCAAGAATGGTGCACACCTGTTCTAGCACAGGCTCTATTTTTATAATGTTTGGTCCACCACCAGTCTGTACTGAACTTTGTTTTACAGCATTATAGTAGATTTTGCTTTCGCTTTTCATCTTCTCCCATATTTTCATTAAAGAATCTTTGTTTCTGTAACAAGAAAGGATAATAGGTCTGAACAACAATTATTTAGGCACATATTTTAGCAAGCACAATTTGCATGAGCATGAGGTAGGCATGAGCATAGGTTAGTACAACACGTAAGGCAAATCGTAATAAATGTATACAATATTTTACAAACCTGTACACAGTTGCCGAAGAGTTAAAAGTATTGGTCACTGCAATCCAGGCTTGATTCTTGGCTTCGTTTGTGGTGCCGTCCGTTTTTTTATTTAATATCGTATCTTTATGAGATAATATAATTTTCACCTATTTGTCTTTTTCTTCAAGAGAAAAATTCTGTCCACTTTTCCTCTTCTCAGCCATAATACTCGTTTTTAGTTAATAGATAAAAATGCGCACGGTGACCACAAACTAATAAGAGATACTTGCACAGATACTTGACGGCTTAGAGGATGGAAAAGTCTAAGGACGGCTTAGAGGATGGAACTTGACGGTGACCAAAGGTATAATTTTTTTTTTAATTTATTAAGCATTGGTTTCAAGGCCATCAGCTTAAAAAGATAACTAAGTAAAAATGTATTACAATAAAAGTGAATGAACTAAAACTAAACCCTAACTAAACAATAGAATAAATTATTTACAGAGGATTAAAAATATAAACACGAACGAATCAATAAAAAAATAATAAAACTTAAATATGGCCAAAAGTATGACTTACAAAACTATCAATAAATTTATATAACTCTAAATGCTGTAAAAGCTCTTGGGCAGTACTAGGAAATAAACAATCTTTTTTTAAAATGTCTACATTGAGCTATGAAAAGTAAACGTTGTAAATTAAAATTGGGACAAACAAAAAATAAATGATCTAAATCAGAAAAACTACTATGGCAAAACAAGCAAGAAGGATTGGATATTAACTTAAGTCTATTTAAATGAGCAGGAAATTTACAATGGCCAATGCGTAACCTACACAGTCCAGTAATATATTGTCTTCCTAAATATGTAGTATTTTTTTCAAACCAAGCCTTTGTTGAAGGTGTTGGCTGAATCTCAGCCAACCATTTACCTTTGATGCTTCTAGAACTGTGTAGGGACATGGACCACCGGATGAACATTATTTCTTTAACAGCTAAATGTAAATCGGTAAAAGGAACTTTAAAATTACAAAATTCAACATTCTCAGTTGACTTAGCAAGAGAATCAACCAATTCATTTCCTAAAATACCGGAGTGACCAGGAACCCAACAAAACTGTACAACTACATTATCACACATTAAATTAAAAATATGACTTCTTAAAGAGTATATCAAATAATTACAATTTGCACTAATTAATTTGTTGGACAAAGCCAGAAGAGCACTCATTGAGTCAGTTAAAATTAAATATTTTTTATATGTGTGATTCTGTTTAATGTAAACAAGTGCATAAATCAGTGCCAACACCTCAGCTGAAAAAATAGAAAATAAGGAATTGCATTCAAATACTTTACCAAAACGACAATCAGCATCGTAAAAAGCAAATGCAGTTCTGTCTCCCGTTTTGGAACCATCTATATATATCTTGTGAAAATCTCTCATGCCATCCAAAAACTCATAAAAATCGAATTTACTATCAAAGCGTGTGATATTGATAGGAATGTCTATAACTAAACTGAGGAATTGGAAGTTATAACAGGGTATAATATGACACCAATGCACAACATCCTGATATTGAAAATTTAAATATGCTATAGAGTTATTTAATGTGGTAGAAATTGATAAGGAAGCTTCGTTGAAATTAGGAGCAGAGTAATTCTCTAAAAATTTTGAAACGATAACGTTATCTCGACTTACTAATTGTAAACAAAATCTATCAGTTAGATAAGATCTTCTGATACATAATGGTACAATTCCGGATTCAACTTCAAGCGAGTTGATGGGAGATGACATCATGGCACCAGTTATAATACGTAAAGCTTTGTTTTGTATAATATCTAACTTTTTAAGGAGGTGCATTTCGATATCAGAATAAAACATACAAGCATAATCAAAATGACTGCGAATGGTTGTAATGTATAACATTTTTAACGTTTTAGGATCTGAACCCCAATTTACACCAATCAAAGATTTGAGGATATTCAAACCCAATTCAGTTCTCTTACAAATATTAGCAATGTGAGCTTTCCAACATAAACTGGAGTCTAAAATTACTCCAAAATACCTTTCTGACTGTTGAAATGGCAATAAATAATTATTATAATAAATTTTTGGGACAAAAGGTCCGTTCCTGGAAAATAAAATTACAGAACTCTTAGCAATATTGACTTCAAGTTTTAAATCAGTAGAAAGTAAGTCATTAATGATTCGTAAGCATTCATTCATGTCATCTTGCCCTTTATTGGGATTATCACAACTTAGATAAACAACAAGATCATCTGCAAAGAAAGAGTAATGCACAGAATCAGGAATCCGCTTCATGAAACCCACAAGACTTAAAATAAAAATAAGCGGTGAAAGAACTGAACCCTGAGGAGTTCCCTTAAACGAACTCCTGGGGCCATACAATTTATTTTTATATTTAATAAACGTGTTTCTATCGTTAAGGAAATTAAAAATCCAACGTAAAACTAAACCTGGTATATTTAGATGGGATAAACTTTTGATTAGGTATTCATGATCTATATTATCAAAAGCTCCTTTAATATCCAAAAAAACAGCCAAAGTACTTTTATTACTCACAAAATTATTTTTAATATCACCTACCAAACAAGCTAAATTATACAAGGTGCTCTTCCCTTTGCGAAACCCAAATTGAAAGTCAGGTATGCGTTGACCATTTTCCACGAACCACTCAAGACGGTTTTTAAGCATAGTTTCGAAGCATTTCGAAAAACATGAAGTTAAAGAAATAGGTCGATATGCATCTAAGCTATTAGCATCTTTGTTAGGTTTTAATATAGGAACTACATACTGGATTTTCCAATCCGGAGGTATAATACTTTTTTTCCAAAGCCTATTATAAATTTCTAGCAAAAATGATTTAGCCAGGAAGGGTAAACACTGAATAACTTTGTAAGTAATATAGTCTGGACCTGGAGAACTACTTTTCTTATTCAGTAAAGCAGCTTGTAGCTCATGAAATCCAAATGAATCAGTCAACCATTGAGTTGAACTAGAGCTGTTATTAAAAAATAAATATTGTAAATGAGTAGAAAAATTACAAGTAAGTGACGAAGAAGTTATTTTATCTAGAAACATCATAATATTTTTAGTATCGTCAAAAAAGTGACATTTAGAGCTGGTACGGAGCTTAGCAAATTTAAATTTGCGAATATAATCCCAAATTAGTTTAGTGGAAGTCATGCGGTTGAAAGAAGAGCAAAGGTTGGCCCAACCTAATGCTTTTTGCTCGGAAAGAGTTTTCTTTTTCTTAGCATCAAATTGTTTATATAAAAGATAGTTTTCTTGAGATGGATAAATCCTAAATGAATCAAGAGCAATTTTAGCTTGTTGAACAGCTTGACTACAAACATCGTTCCACCAAAGCAACGGTTGACGTTTTTTATTTTGGCAAAACATCGCCTTCGTTGTATGAAATGTCAGTAAGATGTTAACTAAGATTTGAATAAAGTCAGTGTACGCAACGAGTGGATCCGGATTAATAGTAAAAGTTGAGAATTTGTGTGTACATAAATCATGAAATTTCGACCAATCTATTTTATTATAATTGAGATTAGCTAGGCAGTGTATAGAGGGAGTGGTTGGAGCGGCAGAGTGAGTTGAAGACTGCTTATGGCTCTGCACACATTCCTTGTAAAACAAACTAACCAGTAGAGGGAAGTGGTTGCTGCTCATAAGATCGTCTAATACTGAAAGAGTACAGCTGGAACTAATTGATGGAGAAGCAAAAGCTAAATCGAGTACATCGCCTTGTTGACCAAATGGAGCAAAGGTCGTTATAGTGTGATCGTTTAAACATACTAAATTATGAGTATCAACAAAATTATAGATTAAATTGCCTCTTCTGTCAACGTTTCTACAACCCCAAGCAATATGATGGGCATTAAAATCGCCTACAATGATATAATTTTTATTACAGATTTTAGAAAAAACATTATTCAGTTGTTGAATTTGAAATTTGCCATTTGGAGGAGGAGGCAAGTAAACACATAAAATATCCAGTGACAAAGAACCAAGAGAAACAGACAATAAAATATTCTGGAAGTCATAGCATTTGTCACAAAGATGGTAGAGAACTTATACTTACCTTTAATAGCAACAGCAACACCACCACGAGGGCGACTAGAATCTTGTCGGACTATGTTATAACCAGGAATCCTAAAACATTTGTCAGGAGTAAGCCAAGTTTCATTAAGAAGAATTATATCGATGTCAGTATTTGAACAGGAAATAAAGTGTTGTAGATTAGATAACTTAGACAAGACACTACGAGAGTTCC